GGCAGGACGAGCATGCGGTCAGCGTTATCCAACGCGCTGTCGAGAGGACGATGCTAGGAGTAACCCTATACACGCAAGTGCAGAGGGGAATCCGGAGTGCCGAACTACGCCAACGATCGAAGATCAGGGACGCTGCCGTTTTCGCCAAGGAATCGAAGATAAGGTGGGCCGGACACGTCATGCGATTTTGCGATGACCGTTGGACCAGAGCGGTTACCGACTGGATCCCTCGGGACGTCAAACGAACACCTGGACGACCGCCGGCCCGATGGTCAGACTTCTTCACGAAAGCTCTGAACGAAAGGAATGAAGGGCTTCGTGTCCCTCGAGCGAGGAGGATCCACTGGACCACTCTTGCACGCGACAGGGACGAATGGAGACGTTGCTGGCGCCCGCTCGAGCAATTCGATGATCAACCGGGGACTACAGGTGATACATGTGATAGCAGCAAAACAAGCAGCTATTGGAAGGAACCAAAGTGGCCAGGTGAGGTTCTTTGTCAGCCGCATTGCCTGCGGGTTCCAACAGTTTTTCTAGAACTGATCCTGCCTTAAAGCCACGAGTCAGGATTAGGCAACCAGCAGAAGTTCTTCCCAGGGTGCGATAGTGGGCTCCCCAAGCACTGAGGGCGCGACACTATCGCGACCCAAAAGTGCGCGGCAATCGCGCTAAGGCCTTGCCCGCCGCGCTGCCCGCGCTGCCAGCGTAATCCACCACGGCATACGTGGTCTCTGCGTCCTCTCGCGTACGACGTACTATCTCGCGTTCTCCCTCTCCTCGCAGCGCTGTGTCTCTCCGTCGTACTACGGCCGGCCTCCTAAGGGAAATTTAGTGTTTTCTATGGTGCTTTTTGCTTTTTCTCCTCACTAATGTTCCTCATTGCACCCCTTGCCTAATGTTTGAACAAAATAACGCATCAATTCAATCCCGACTCGTGCCTTTAAAAAGACAACATTCAACTTGTGAAGCTATGCCGTCGAGCGAAAAGTGTGGAAAGCTATTGCAAAACGAATTCAATATATGGAAGTTTTCAGAAGCCACCAAAACCAATAGTACGTTCAAACTCGGATGCGTCCACTCAGCAAGGTGGAGCAGGCAGTACCAGTAGCGGGCAGTAGCAAGTCATTTTTCAATGAAAATGCTTGAACGACTTAGATCGATTGTTAAATGCTTAAGGAACACCTGAGACACTCGATAAATCTTGACAATGTTACCGAGTACTTTCTTGTGATGAAAGCAAAAAGTTCAACAATTCATCTCAGCTCCTTCCCTTAAAACACAGAAGCCCACCTTGAAGAGGTGAAAATGGAGCCAGTGTGTGAAGGAAATAAGGCAGTGGTGTTTGTAGCGCTTTACATTAGGAGATCGGATTAATTTATTGATCGGGAATTATCCGGTAAGAGCGGGCATTGCAGGGCACAGTCTGCTCGAGGAGTCATTTAATGTTACGAAATGCTATCAGATTTTTTCGTACTTTATTTTTTCAGTTTGTTTGTATAACTTATGGAGTCTTTTACTGGGTAACATCAAGGTTTACAAAAGTATTTTACGTAGTCTGAGCCACCCATGGACTAGCTTGGAAGGGACAGGAAGCCCTACCGGGGGAAAACGACGATGGCTCACAGGCCCTTAGTCTCCGCTCAGGGGTCAAGCGAACATTGAGGAAAGTTTGCGAGAATTTACGCCCCCCCCCCCCTCCCCTCCCTCCCCCAGGAGCGCTCGCGGATATGCATTGAAACCCCTTTCAGAGCCTGAACTTATGAAAGGCTGTTGAGATTCTTCCCAAAACTCTCATAGGGATTAAAGAAGGGTGCTAACTTAAGTGGGGGGGGGGGGGGCATGCGGCCATCTTACAAAGAAAGAAGCGCGCAGAGGGCTAGCTCAAACAGTTTGGAGTAGGACTATGAAAGTTCAGGTCGTCCAAGTTGTGAGCTTTCGGAATTTGGTGTGCGGAGGCAGAGCTAGAAAGAGATGATCACAGTCCATTACTTAAAAGGCAAAGTTCGGGCTCAGACCCACCTAAGAAGCCCTTACCATGGCTAGAAGTGCTGGGCACCCAAGTGCAAAGTTAGCGCCACCTTTCTACATCGAAACCCGTCACCAGGACCCTAGGCGCCATGAAACTTGTAACAGACTCCACCAAACATAACATGGTCCGCCCACCGATCGATGTCTTGTCTGCGTCGCTGCGTTGATCTGCTATGCTCTCTCTTCTCGGAATTCTCTACCACCCTCTGCGCTCACATTATCTCTCATCTCCCTCCCTGTCTTTTGAACTTCTCCACAGCATTGAGCAAAATGCTCGTATTTCCTGTGCATGTCAGGATTTTCTTTCCTTTTTTCTCCATTGGCGGTCCACCTCTCATCCCTACTTTCACATTTGAGTGGAATCAACCCATCAATGTAATCCTGATTCTTGCCTTTAAGTCACAACCGTCCACAACTCGATTGCAACACTGTTAAAATGAGAGAAAGTCAAGACAAAATCGGCTTTCTTTACGCTTTGGATTTAACCACCGCGTAATAATATCCGGAAAAATTCTGAGCTCTCGGACGATAGGTTTCGTCCGTATCCACCTCTGTAGCCCTCGGACCTTTTGCCAACGCGACGAATAACCTATTTCCCTCTCGTCGAGATCAACCTACCACGAATAAGTCTCGTTGCTATGCAATATGATCCAAAACAACAATCCAAGTGTTCTTCGATATAAGTCAGTGGGGTTTATGACATAGCATCGGAACGAGCTCTAGTGCGTTGACAATAGGCTTATGGATCATGATATTTATATGAATTACCAGATTAGTCCCCCGTCAACCGCCGGGACCTTCCTTTCCTGCGCAAGCTTTCTATCCTCCGCTATGGTCCCTTCCTCCTGTGACACCAACACCCTGGAAGTGACGCGTATGCAACACAATGGTGTTTCATACAGTAGAAGGGACACAATCATGATATGACGGTAGATTTTTCGCTTCCCTTCCTCATCCTCCCTTCCTCTCTCCACTGCCCTCCAGCTGCCACTGCAGCACCATGTGGAATGAACGGAAGTGTGCTAAGCAGGTGTTTATATAGCCCTAAGAGTGTTATCACAACTATCCTGCTACAAAACATTGATATCTCAAATCCTGTAAGCTACCCGATTTGTTAGCGGTTTGTTTATCCCATGAGCTTCCTTCTCACTCACTTCATTTTGCGGACGGACACACATACATACATACACACACACACATACAGATACACAAACCGACACACAAAGTTAGCGCTTTATAAAATAGAAGGATTCTATACGAATTAACAAAGGAATAATGAAAAAGCGGGCTAATTCATTTAGCGGGCGCATCATGGCGGACTCCCAAAAGCTACGGTAACTCTGAGCCAGGGGGAGTGTAGCCAGCCTAGGGGGGGGGGTGAGGGCAGTCACTTGACATGCGTGAGAAGCTGGAATGTTCGAGTTTACATTAGCTCGCCGAGAAACTGCATCATGATGCCCCCCCCTAACTGGAATAGACCCGAAAAAAGTAATAAAGTCCAAAATTAGCGATATGGTTGCAGAAATTGGACCAACCTGCTAATTTCATCGTAACCCTACCTCAATCCTTTTTTGGTCCATGTTGGTGACGTGATCCCAGCCCATCCTTAAAATCACTTCTCTTTCATTCTTCCCAACCTTTCTAAACTAGCGTGAACATCTCCCTGGTATTTTAAACTTCCGCAGCGGATAGAAGCTCGAGAGACACCCACAATAGTGCGGCGGCGAAATTTTTAGGTGAATCTTGCGAGGTGCGATGGCGCTTCATCACTTCTTTGTGTGAGATTTCGAACAACAACGGCGATGGCTAAGTGGACAATTTGCTGCCTCAAACAATCAGCGCCACTCGCGACGTCGCAATGCGATTGCCGCGTTTCATTACCGTATTCTTCGTCTAATACGATTGCGTTGGGCACTATGACAAGACACGCCCCCACAGAGGAACCTATACCGCCCTCTCCACTTAGTTTAGGAGAAACGTAGCTGGCGCTAATCACCAAACACATCATTTCTTCCTTATATCACCCCTCCCAACTCTTCCATTGCTTCTTGAACAGGGCTTCACTACCTGGTAGCTTCTCTCACGTTCCTGCTTTCAGCAGGTTCGGCTTCAGCCTAGAATTTTGAGTTCGGATCCCGGTAAATAGGATAGGCCGGGTTCCAGGCCTTCCAAAAGTTCTGTGAAGACGAGGTAACACTTCAGTTCCCTTCGGGCATCGTTTATTAAACTTTGTCGAGAGGTGTTTGCAAGCAATTTTTCTTTCAAGCAGCACCTCGTTCAAGGACCATCTCCACACGCTACCTCCTCCCCCCCCCCTTCCCACGGAAAACGCACAACTTCCTGCGCAGAACATCCCTGCCCAAAACTCCAGTGAAAAATTTGATTCTCATCTGTTGTTCTTCGTTTTCCCGTTGAAAACGTCCCACTCCCGTCTTTTCTATGAAGATTTCTTAGAAGAAATCCAATCATCGTCTGAATGCGGATATTTTCGACATAATAGGCGGGAACGGTTTTTCCTGTTTGTCGAGGTATTTGTGGCCCTCAGCGCCTATCACCCAGTGCCAAATTGTTTCCTCTCGGTGACAGACGATTATCTATTACCTGCCATAGGGCGGTTGTGGCTTGGTTTGCTAGTAGCACGTTCATCTCAGCGTCCAGCGTTGACTTCCCCTCGTAATCCTGGCGCCAGATAAAGTACGCATAGGTATAAATAGGGTTTTTGGGCCATTCGCACGGGCTAAATTGCTTGGAATTGTGACACAATGACACAATGTTTCCGCATTGTTAGAAAAAACCAGTGCTATGGGTCATTAGCCGTGTCATGGGCTGTTCCAAATAAGCCGATTATTACCACTATAGCGATAAGATATGATCCCAGTTGCCAACAGTCATTTTTACATCAGAATCTATTGCTCATATTTCAATTTCTAGTCGTGAAATCCGTCATTTGTGTACGTTCTTCAGGTTTAGGAATGGATCGGCTTTGTGCTGATGCTCTACGCGACTACCAACGGGCGTTGTTCGGCCTCGATCGCCAGGAAATGCCACGGTACGGCTTTCCGCTGCGATCCGAGCTGATTCCGCCACGAAACTTCTTTGATCCGTCGGCACTGTTCCCGATGCTTGACCAACCCAAGCCTCAGCACTCCTACATCGGTCTCATCGCAATGGCGATATTGTCATCACCGGACAAGAAGAAAATGGTCCTCAGTGAGTAAGAGGTGGTCTGAAATCCAGCTAACTGTTTTTATGAATAGGTCCGCCTCAGGCGGAGGTTCAGACTTTGCGAATCGAGGCGAATACTAGCGTTTCCGTCGCGCTTCGCGGCAACGTAATCTTCAATTGGCTGGTGCCGCTAACGCGATCCCAATCGTTACGAACTAGCCAAATGCCGAAGCTTATTGCGAACCTCCACAATCGCAAGTTTGACGTCAGCCTTACGAGGCTCTGAAATGCTGTATTGTGGGCAAAAATTGGCGCTAGCCGGCGTATTAATACCATGTATCTCTGCTGTCCAGTTTCTTTCCAAGGTTATAACTGTGCTGCTTACAACTACCCGGAAAGCAAGAGATCCTAATACGAATCCCGGCTAGGGCTAAAGTTCTGTCCGCAACTCAGCAATCTTATAGAACTCCGAGGAACGTTTTCCCTCAGTTGCGTCGATAACGCTTCTCGCGATTTGTGGCGGCCTGTGGGGTGTTGTGGGTGGTGGTTTTGTAGGTGTAACGAAGTGGATAATGAGGGTCATTACCGTACCTTCCGCACCGCGTGCCGGTGGAGGACAGCATCAGTACACAATTTAGCCTAACATTGTTCGGCAAAGCTGTCGAATCGCCAACGGTAAAGGTGAGAGTTCCCTTAGGATCTTTAGCAATTCTCTTGTAACTATTACTTCCGTTTAGGGTCATTACTGGGCTGTGCACCCGGCATGCCTTCGCGATTTCGAAAGAGGCGATTTTAGACGGCGGAGAGCTCAAAGAAAGGTACCGCTTATCCAACGAATGCATTTTTCTACTTCTTCCGAGTTCAACCATCTTCCGAAGTATCCTAATGGAATTAGGCGCTATCGCAATATAAGGGGGAAATCCCTAGGACTAAGCCTAGAAAGAGGGCAAAAGCTCGGGGGAAAATGAGCATGGCGCTCACACCATGAGGCTTCCACCCCCCCCCCCGCTGGGACTAAGCTCCAGCGGGGGGGGCAGTGGAAGCCTCCATGGTGTGTGACCGATGCTCATTTAAAATCAGCCCTTTACTCAGCAGCGCTTTTTAAAATCACCAATGTCCATTATTGCGATAGATGGTAAAATCAGTTAGGCATTTTTGAGCACTCGAAGGAACCGCACGCGTCGGAGGAGTAGTAATGAGTGCCTCAAATTGATAATATAAAGCAAAATAGGATTAAAAAAAGTCGCATTGTGCATCGAGGGGGGGGAAGGAGGCAATCTATCAGGGTAAGTTGTAACGGAGAGAGACGAATGCCTGAGAAAATGAAATTTCACTCTTATTACGCACTTCTCTAAGGTTTAGTCCTAGAATTGAGCGTTTCCTTACAATCTCAAGCAATTTACAGACTGCTTTCCCCACCCGAGCCTAGAATGCACTTAAAAGCCTTGTATTTGAAAGTTTAGTTTCTTTCAGTTTGAAACGATAGAGCAGAGAGAGCAAACACCGAAATGTTTTTCGTAGTTTGTCACAAGTGTTTGATAACAAAATCACTAGTTTTCGTTTCTCGATTACTCGAAAAAAAAAACGTTCCCGCAGTGAAAATTTCGTGATACTAGAAAGTTATGAGTTCCAATAAGTTGTTAATAAATGTATATGATAAACACTTCTCATGGGAAAGGTTTAGGCGCTAAAGGAGGAGGTGAGATGGGCGAGTACCTAATGGGGCAAATTGAAAAGCATTTTTTTCACCAGAAGGGCTCTGATAAGGGTCAAAGTGGAAGTATCGGAAACAGCTATTGGGTCCTCACTGCAATCCCTTCAGAAGACGGGGTTTGCCCTACCCTACCACCACTTCTATTTTTTTGCTGGATTTTTTTCTGCGAAACCGCTAGGAACAGCGTTCAGAGAACGTACTTATCAAGAAGTAGTAGAGGCTATTTGGCACTCATTTATTGGAGTGCGTTAGGGGAAGGGGTGGAGCGGGAACTGGTAGGGGGTCATAAAATGAAAGCGTGTGGCCCAATAATCGTTAATCCGGTCTTTGATAATATACGGTAATATACGGCGACCCTTCTTAGATCAAGGTTCAAGAACTGACCCGCTTGCAAGCCAAAATTTAGCCCAAAAAAATTCTGCGTAAGTCATCGCAGCCTTGACGTCTCAAGTTGTCCATTGAAGCAGCCCTTCGAAAGTGTCTCGATTTTGAAGGAAAAACCAAAGATCACATTCTGTGCGAACACGGTCGAAAATTGCCGCTCGCTGGAAAAATTGGTTTAGTTTTGCTTTGCAAAAAACGAAAATCCTCTGAAGACAATGGACAACAGATTCACGAATCAGGCGTTTTTCACGGCTAAAATGATTTGTCGAAGAGTCGAGGAAGAAAAGCTACAAATTGCGTGCTGAAAGCTTCTCAAACTCCGAATTTTCGCTCTGTTCAGTAAAAACGTGCAGCTCACAAAGGACCACGAAAATTGCCGCCTGAATGTTTGGCGTTTGCGTGAGTGGCGTTTTTCGTTCGAAGGTACTTGTTGTAACTCAGAGCAACCCTAATTCTTCAGTATTTGTGAAAATAACTCCCGAACAGCTTTGTTCATTACTACTACTCAGAATTAGTCAACCATGCAGCAATTAGTGTCATCAAATTTTTCACTTTCTTCTTCCAAAATTTCGCCCTCATTTGCTCCTCGGGCCTCCCTTACGACCCTACATAGCCTAACTTCACATGCACTACAACAGCTCACATTGATCTGGCAGGTTGATAATCTGGATTGGAAGGAGACGTTCACGTTCCAATGTAGGTGACTACAGTTGCCACAGTTTAGATACTGATAAAATAAGCTGAACTGACATAAATATAGCATTTTGCGGCACGCCGGTTACTAAACGGGAATCTTAGATAAGAAGTAGAAATCTCAGATCAGACAAAAGAGAGCAGGGATTCCTTGTTACATAAGTAGCTTCGGTCTTGGGTCCTCACACTGGATTTCTTTCAGGGTATAGGGAGCTGTTTTTGAACGGTTGGTAGGGGATCTCACCTAGGCTACAAAGCTAACGTTCATTCTCGTTGAGTGGCCCCTGTAGGCTGAGAAAGGCCCGAAAAAATCACTTGGAATGGGTGATTCACAACTTTAGAGTGATATCTGGAGCTTCTACCGTAGTACGAGTCATGGTGTGACCTGGTTGACACTTTACTGCTGGCACTGCCGGCTGTTTGGAGAAAAAATGTGGAAGCTCGGCATAACGTTAACCTGCAAACATTCTGTCGCCACGGGGATTGAACTTGGCCAATTCTGTAACCTCTTTCGCGTACTGCAGGGCGTTTAGCGAAAACTGGCCGTCTGTTTTGTGTCCACCCGTGTTCCTGGCAAAGTAGAGGACATTCCCGTTTCAAAAAAGCGCATCCCACAGCCTGAAGGACCTCCCATTGTCATGGCTAACCCATTTTTGGAAGGTGGTTAGTGACCATATCAAGCAACAAGTTGTCTTGGACCTCAAGCAACATTTTGCGTGATCACGTTGTGCCACTTCTTCCCCATGCTTACAAACAGATCAATAATTCCCTGAATAAACATTGAAGCAACCCTTTTTTAGGGTATAAGGTGTTATCTAAACAGTTGACGCAACACCTCATCAACTGTTCTTTTTAGGTTCGACGACACATGGGTTTGTCGGTGCCGGATGGCGAGTCCTCGGACGATTCTCCCAGTCCATCTCCAGCTTTTCCTTTTCCCATACAAGACATGAAGCTACACGCGTCACCGTCAAGGAGACGTGATTTCTCCGATTGACTCGTTGCTTGCTGATGACCTATAGCTCCTCTTTCGAGGCTCTCTGTCTCTCTAGTCGTGGACTTTCCGATTCTTTTGCCTATCTCGCATTCGTCTGTTCCGGTTCTCTGAAAGATCTCTTTGTATTTGAATTCGTGTCGGGTGATTTCGTAATAAATATTTCAAAACATGGGCATTTCCTGCAAAGAACAAACACGGCTTTCTGAGTGTTAATAATTGGTTGCGATGCTTTCATTTGACCTGACGTCCAATTGCTTGTGATTTGTTGTTTGTTATGGTAATTAGACGACGTTAATTGGCTAAACGCCGAGGCGCGCTTGTCTGCTCACTCGTAGAGCTCTGCTGGAAGGGGCTGGCCGGCTCACCAGCGCAGCGCTTTTGCAACGCCGGCCGTGTTTCCGCACTGAGCGCTCTTGTTCTGGCTGCTGACAATTGGCTGACGGTGACCGCTCAAGTTCCGGCGATTTCCGGATTGAATCTGTTTGATTGGCCACTCAACCACAACACTCTCCATCGACATTCGCGATTCGGCAGTCACAAAACCCTTCCACCTAACACCGCTGACAACAGCCATAGGGACACAGCGTCAATCATTTAGCAGTCAAATGTCCTTACATAACGAACACATACGACCTCTATCGAAAAAGCCCTCCCAAGGGTGACTTATCAGTCGCTGGAATCCACATATGACCTTGTCGGGCCTGGAAAGTAAACATTAATCAGATCTTCTCCCAAAAATCAACAACAACAACGATAGAGCTTGATGTCACATTGACCAATCAATTCTGGGATGCGCCATGCATTTTACTTCTACTGCATAGAAAAACACTGAAACTTCAAGGTAATCACCTCATCAATCAGCCAGCCGAGGGTCAGTCTTGAAATATTAAAAGGACCAGATTGGTCCACCGTCTACCTGCCGGGACCTTCCTTTCCTGCGTAAACTTTACGTTTTCCGCTGTGGTCCCTTCCACCTGGAGGTAAGGCGCATGCAGCAAAAAGGAGTTCGCATAGAGGGAATCGCCACTCCCCCCCCCCCCCCCCCCCGAAACCAAGCCGCGACGGTAGATTTTCCGCCTCCCTCCCCATCCTCCCTTCCTTCTCCACTGCCCTCCAGCTGCCACTGCAGCACCATGTGGAATGACCGGAAGTGTGCTCAGCAGGTGTTTATATAGCCGTAGAGTGTTATCACAATTATCCTATTACAAACATTGATAGGGGGAGGGGGGGGTGACGATAAAGAGTGTCAGCTTGGCGCCATGCCGCCTCAAAATTCTTCGCTGCATCCGGATGCCCGTTGTGATGAGGTTTGATGAGGTGTGAACGGGCAGAATAAGTTCCTAGGTGTCCCCCCATAAAACGAGACTAAGCTCTCTCTGCTCTGGTCTCTGATGCTAATCTAGGTTTTATAAGCATCTGCTTCCTAGAAAGTGTTGATTGTTCGCGTGAGAGTCACATCCAAAAATGAAATGATTCATTTGTGCTTATTCGCTCCAGAAAATTGACCTTTGTAAAGACGACGATGCGGTAATGCGATATGCTATTTCCGATCCCTATAAGCATCCTTGCTGCAATGAACGTTGTTCATCTGACATATTGGCTCCCTTATAAGCTTTCAAATCGTCCAAAGCCTTTATAAACGTGCACTTCCCCGGCCACTAGAGCAAGAAAGTGTGATCTGCTTCTTCCCAGGTTTTGAGCCGATGGACTTTTCTATAAGGGGATTAAGAAAACAACATCTCAGAAGACTTCTACAGCATGTTGGGATGCTCTAAAGTTAGCGCTTCAGAAGACGTGGGACGACATCGCCGTTGGCTACCTGCGGCGCACTGCTGATTCTGTCGTTGGACGTCAGCAGGCCTATGTTGAAGTGGAGTCGTCTTGTCTTGAGTGATCATGTAGCTCAATTTTATCTTGCTGTAAAGTTGGTTTGTTAATCGAGTCCCCTTCTCGACTTTTACAACCAATGACATGGCGTCCTATGGCCGATGTCAGACTTTGCGAATCGCGCGATTCGCTAGCGTCTGCGGTCGCGTCGCGGCCAGTGAATCGCTAGCGTCTGCGGTCGCGTCGCGGCCAGTGAATCACTCAATTGGCTGGTACCGCAACGCGACCGCGGACGCTAGCGAATCGCGCGAATCGCTAGTAGCGAATCGCGCGATTCGCAAAGTCTGACATTGGCCTATACTTTTCAGCCATCGTGTACTATTTGGTAGCGCAATGGTCAATCTCATGCCGTGGCAATGCATTGCAATCGGATCGGATTAGTACAAATAGACCTGCATCCTTGTAACATGTACCATGGTATTTGTATCAAAGCACGTAATACAGTTACTGCTTCTGAAACCATTCATCATTTCAGATCAAGGTACAACCAGGGTCAACCGTGCGTTGCGCAGATTTCAAAATTTTTACGACCCCCTCCCTTTCGGAGGGTATCTGTACGACCCTCTGTATTAGCTATTGTGTCTTTTTACATATTTTAGGCCCATCATCGGTGTATGGGCCGTCACCGACATGGAGAGGTGGTGGACAGTGGTAAGTCCGCGCGCTTTGTCTCGCTCAGAGGACGGGAATCGAGGCAACATGAAATTTTGCTTGTTAAATAGGAACAATTTCCAAGTTCTTGCGTAAATCTAGGCATGGTAGTGATCACAGAGATTTCTATTAGGTCAGTATTTAAGTCTTGCAACAGAATGGCTGTTTT